AAAGTAGTGGAGAGGCAAAAAGACAAACAAAGGGACGGCTATATGGGGGCAGGGTTGGAGTTTAAAAAAAAAAGAAAAGAGGAACAAAATAAAAAAGAAAAAAGAAGGAGGTCTGTTAGTCACTTGAAAAACAACGAAAACGGCGGGAAGGTTTGAGCAAAAAAGGAGAAACCTGTTGGCTCTTGGGGAAAGCAGACAATAGGTAAATTTCTTATTGCTTTTCATGGTTTATTTACATACGAGAAACCATTATCATATTTTCATTGTAGGTTTTTAGCATTCCCTATAGGGTAAACAAGCTTTCCACGTAGAGTATAAAGTGTGAAAATATGAACTTTTGTTTTTTTCTTTTTTTTTTCGTTACATTGATGAACCAGGAGCATTCAATCTCCATTTATGGACCATGATTATTGATTCTTTTAGTTAGTGTTTGCTGGTGGTGTTTTTAGAAACAAAAAGGTGCAACCTTGGTGGTGCAGTTTTGAAAGAGTAAGTTGTATACAATGAACAAAAAGCCTCCTTTTTTCTCTTTGAAGATCAAAAACCATTTGAAAGCATGAGAAGGTTTTAAAAGTTTAAAAGGTTTAAAGCATCAAAACCCAATTTTTTTTTATGCATTTTTGGTCTAGTTCAGACCTCGGTGGTGCAGTTTTGAAAGAAACAAAACCTATCCGTGATTGCTTCCATACTTGTTTAAAGAGGTTTTCAGCTCTATTATTTTCACGTGTGCCGTTCAGCTTTCTGCATAATCTGTGGATAAAAGCCCAAAGTTTCCCTTTTCATGTTTGTTGACTTCTTTAAGGGTGTAGTATGTGAACAAACATTTAAAGATTCACCTAGTAGATTTGAGGAAATTGGTTTATAGAACAAAAGGAGTTGGGACTACTGATTATTGGTTTTCTTTTGGAAACCGAAAGTCCTGTAAGTTAGAAGAAAAAAATGTCTTTCATGAGAATATTTGGTTGTCTTTTGATGAGATTCCATGGTTTGCCATTTATGCTTTTGACATTATCATCTGCAAGGTAGCCCTCACTTATAAAAAAATAGAAATAAATAAATTCGATAACTTCTTGGGAATAAAGAGAATGAAAGCTCATGGATTAGGAACCTCATGGCTTGAGAAGCCATGGCTAGAATCGGTGGTCCATGGAGATTGCCGTGTAGAAAGAACCTTGTTCTTCTTATCATTATTCCAACCTTTTAATATTTGATAAAGACCACATGAAAGCATTAAAGGCAATGGCGTGGGACCTCCGATTGTAGGGATTGTTGCACTGGGTGTTTCTTTTAACTTCATGTTGTTTAGCCTAAAAGGTTATGGAAAATATGACATAAGTAAGGTGAGTTGGAAAAAAGGACTCTGGGAAGGTTTTTTTTTGGAATTTTACATCTTATTCTATGTATATAATAAATAAAATTTTAAAACATGTGGCTAGAGTTTGTTTGTTCCTGATAAAATCTATTTTCATGCATCTTTAAAATTGTCCACAACTATGCACGCTTTATGTGGTTTAATTTTAATAGCAATTTTAATTTTATAAATTTTAGTTTCCTTGTTGAAGGGATTTCCATACTCGATTTAATCTAATTTTTTATATTTTAATTTATGATTGATATATTTTATTTTTCACATATTTTAAATTTATTCATAATAATAATAATAATAATAATAATTTTAAAGAAAGATGAAATATATAAAATATGTAAAAATATAAAAATTTATTTTTTAGAAGAATTATAAAAATGAGTTTACTCCAAAAATTTATCTAAATGTTAGATATTTTTAGAGAGATTTGTAAATTTTTAAAATTTAAACTTAAATTTACGAAAAATCTTAAACTTGTTTTAAATTTCTCAATATTTGAATGAAAATCTTTTATGAAATAATTTACTTTTGAATACTGCCTAAATATTAGGGCATTTAGAAAATTTTATTTCATTATGAACTTTCATATATTTTGTAACTAAAAAGCAATTCGTTTCGTTAAAATAACAAATATAAAAATAATATAACGGGATTTTAAATATAAAAAATTACACCTAAATTTTATTTAAATGTTGGAAAGTCCAAGTGATCTCTTTACATTTGAAAATTCGATTCTTAAATTCATATTTATCATCATCTGCATATAACTCATTCTTTAAAATAATGTGTACATTCATAATTTACATATATATATATATTTATTTATTTATTTGTTGATATTTAAAATTAATTATATTTTTTTTATTTTTTATTGCATAAAAAGTTTCCTTAAAAATTGTTAGTTTTAAATAATTAAAATTAAAATAGCATCTGTGAAATATAATTATTTATGCTCTACCTAAATATTAAAGAGTCATCAACAATTATCATTTATAATATAATGTTATTTTATTATTTTTTAGGGAATGTTATGATAAATCTAAAATTGAAAGATTATCTTCGAATTTTACCCTTATTTCTTTAATTTGAAAATTTTCATGATATTCCTAAATAAATAATTTTTCTAAAATTAATTTCATTTCTTAAAAACAAAGAAAATTTTAATTAAATTTTATATACATAAAAATAACATTGTTATCTAGGATTACAAATAACATATAATTAATTGGTACAAATTTTATGAGCATTGTGAAGGAGTTAATCATTCTCCACACAACCAATTCTCGAACTCAACTTCATTTTCGTAAATTAAAATTATATTTTTGATAAACTTTAAATTGATTTTTATCGTTTTACTAAAAAAATAAATTTTTAAATAACCAATCACATTTTTAAAAAAATTGATGATGACTTTTTATATTTTCACGATTTAAAACTTTTTTGTCTAATGTCTGAAAATCATTACGACATGTATATATATATATAGATCAAATGGTATATTATATGAAAAAAATTAAAAATCATCACTTATTACTCATTGGTAAATTAAAAAAAAAATTAAAGATATGAAGTGTGGGAATCAAATGAAAAGAAAAAAAAAAGAAAAACAAATATGCATTGTAACATATTAGTCACGTCATATGCTAATTTGTAACCCATCGAGTTTTATCGTGCTAGACCGTATTATGTATAAGCCTACAATCCATCATGAATCATGTTGTGCCAGTTCATAATTCTAAAAATCATTATCCTACTTGATAAAATGATAAATATAGTTCTCGGTATGATTCATTGCTACAGCAACATGGGTCATATTGATACAACTCATGATGGCTTGTGTTGTGTTGTATCTCAAGCAATTTTGTCATATTTATGTAATATAACATAATGTTATAAATTTTTAAAATCTGTGATAAATATAAACCTAAATCTTAATAGATGGAGAGTTACACTGAAGGAAGGAAAAGAAATAACGAAGAAAATGAGCTAAATAAAAAGAACCGACTTGAACATCAAGTTATTTTTTCATCTTTACTACAAACAAGTTTATAATAGTAGAGTCCATGATTTCATCATATCAAAATCCTAATAAACCTTTGAACTTGATCAAAAATACTTGTTTTTACTTACAAACTTACTTCAATTTTATTTTTTACAATGTTTGTACATGAGACATAGGGAAAAAAATTATTTATGATTTTTTTGCATTAAAAAATGAACTATTAAATTGTTCAATTTACTTATATGTAACTTAATTTGTTTATTGAATTAAAAATTGAAATTAAACATAATATTATGGGATTGTTTTATTTATTTATAATTTATAGATTAGTGTTTAAATTCTAATTGATTGAATAATTATATTGAATCATAACATTAATTATTAATAATAAAAACTATATATGAGTGACATTGAGTAATAATTGTTGTTGGAAACATGTAATACAGCAAATTTTCGCACCCTGTACTGTGAGTGGAATACTCCTTGGTGGAGACTTACATTTGCAAACCTTCAGTTTGGTAAATAAAAGAAGGGAAGGAAGGAAGGAAGGTGACCCCAAAACAAAACAAGAAAACGGATTAAACAAATAAAAACAATCAGTATTTCATCTCAATTTGTTACAATCAAGCATAAAAGAGTGGGTGATTTCAGGCTCCCAAACCTCATCAGAATCCTTAAAAGCCTCCAACTTCAACTCAAATTAAGACCTGTTTTTTCACTTGCCAACTCAACAAACTCCAATTCTCATAAAACGACAAAAACCCATGAAGGAATTCCAAAACATATTGTATGCGTATATGATGTAGTAAATTCATACACCCTATAATCACATATATAATCCTAAATCCTATTTAGGAAAGGAAAGGAAGCAACCAAGAAAAGGGGTTAAATAAAAGGAACCTAAATTGGCATCAGGTTATATGTTCATTTTTTATACAAACATGCTTATAAGAGTAGAATCGGTGATTTTCATCATACCAAAATCCTTATGAAACCCTCGAAACTTCGTCAAGAATAATACTTGTTTACCCGATTCTGATCAAGCACAACCGAAACCCAGAAAAATAATTCCAACACGTTGCCATGGCTTCCATTGACACCATCGAGATTGGCCAAGAAATCGATAATCGTTTAGAACAACATTGTTCTTATATCCCATGCGATCTTTTCAACCTGGAATTAAGGTTTCATTATGTTTCATCTCTTAACTTAGAAACAACCTTAAAAACTTTTAATCAATCCCTCATGTATCGACGTGACATGCTTTTATCTGAAGACTACGGTCCAAACATGGTACTTTCCCTGTTTGCATGCACGGGTTCATCTTTACAGTTTATTCAAACTGTCATTGTTCCTGATATCTTATCTTTCGCACGACAGATTGATAGTGACCCTGTAAATCTTGGACGTAAAATAATAAAATTGATACTGGAAGTGGTTGTCAAGGTGACTGATAATGAGGTTGATCAAGAGGTTACTGATAGTGAGATTGATCAGGAGGTGATCACTTATGATGAGATTGATGTCATGACTAATGATGAGATTGATCAGGAGTTGACTGATGATGAAGTTGATTATGAGTTGACTGATGATGAAGTTGATCAGGAGTAGACTGATGATGAATTTGATCAGATGGTGACTGATGATGAGGTTGATCAGGAGTTGATTGATGATGATGTTGATCAGGCCATTGATGAGTCACTGAGTACATTGAATTTCAAGCCTGCTAGTAATTCATCTATTCAAGCTTTGAAAAGGTTTAAATTGGGTGATGAAGGTCACCTACCCTTCACGAAGAGGAGATTACTCGATGGTTTGAGTTCAAAGAATGAATGTATGATCTGTTTCCATGAGTTCTCTGATGATGACAAGGTTGCTTCGATGCCTTGTGGACATGTTTATCATGATGATTGCATCATTAAATGGTTGGAGACCAGTCACTTGTGCCCACTGTGCTGATACCAGATGCCCAGTTCATTCGATTTTGATCTGACCTCCCCAGTTGATTCGATTTTGATCTGATCTCTCAGTCGTAATTGAGTTCAGTTGATTAATGTCCTTAGGGAGAATGTAATTAATTTTTTCTTATTAATGTCTAAATTGTAAGTATGATGATAAGATGAGGAGTTACATGATGATAGCCTAATATAAAGTGATATGGCAAATTTTTGTTAAATATATATTTCTTGTTTCCATCTTTCATTATTGTATCACAGTAATTAGAGAAATCAATAATGCAAGCATGAATATTTACTCCAATGATGGGTGAATTTCTTATGTGTAGTTCTGCTTACCCCAAATATAGTGCTCTGTTTCAGTGAGTTACACTTTTTGGTCTTGTCCTAATTAAATCAATGAGATATGGGTCTACATGTGAAACTCCAGGAATCAATGTTTTAAGGTGATTTCTATTTGCTCGGTCATTCTGCTGCTGCACTTGGAATAAGGATGCATGGTTTAATTTGGTTTTGTCTTCCAATTGCTACAATGAGATGATAATAAGCTGATAGATTGGACCATGGAATCTGAACGATACAAAAGGATAGAGATATATATAGTGATCCATCTTGTTCTTTCCATAGTTTTATAATTTTATTTTGATTCCAAAATAGATTGATTTTTTTAATATTAAAGCCTTTTGACCTTGTTCCAAGTTAATTACAGGTTGGTAGTGTTTGAAACTTCAGAAATGGATGATTCAAAGAAAATTCTTATTTGATAAGTAACACATTGGTAAACAATGATGATCTGAAACGGATTTACTGAAAAATGGACAAATGCGCTAGTTAGTTAGATCAAAGGTGTGTCTGAGACCAAATCATCCATTGATCGTTTTGAGAATGCGAGGTTTATAAAATGCTTGAACTTGATGGAATACTGTATGAAACGTTTGAAAAGGTTTCAAGATTTTAATTGCAAGCATTTATGCCTACATTTCAATCATGAACATAGATATATAGATTGCTTGAGCCAATTTGCTCTATCTCCTGCCTCCACACCTTGAGCACAAATGCATAAACATCTGCTTTGGAGACATGAAATCAACCGCAGGAAGTCTACTCCATAGCCTATGCTACTAATGAATGGACATCTGCTGATCATGACATTAGACAAGTAGATTATTCCTACTGGTTTTCCATCTGATGAAGTAATACTGTAATTAGTAATATAAATGGATTGGAGGCTAAACAAGAATGTTCTTTGTGTATTGAACAGACATACTTCATTTTGAGTGCTGTTGGGGGCTTATGTGTTGTCGCTCTATTTTGAAGCCTTTTAATCAGCAAAAAAGCAGCATTTGGGTAAAGAAAGTGAAGTTTACTAGTTCTTGTAGGCTATATTTTCTCATATGCCGAGGTTTTTCTGCATTTCTAGTAGTGGTAAATCCAGTTCTTTATTGCTTAACCATTTAGCTTAATTTTTCCATACTAATGTTTTTGGTATTGAATTGTACCACAATTTTGGCAGCCAAAGTTCTTATTGCTCTTTGATATGCTGAAATTGGAAAGTAATTGATGGAAAGTTTATGATTGGCATATGCATTCTGTGACATCAACGGGGATCAAAATATTATATTTGCTTCATTAAGGGGATTGTTCATGGAGATTGATCCCTCCAATCTTTCTTTTTCTTTCCCTGATTCGTGCAGAAGGTTTTGTTCCATATGATGAATAAGCAAAGTATCAAAAAGAGAAAATTCTAACATGCTCATGCTGATATTGTCATGTCACACTCCATGACTGAGACATAACATTGCCATATTACTTGAAAGTAAAATCCCAAAGTAATATAAAGCTTTCTTTTTTAATCATTTTAAATTCTTCAATAAAATAATTTGTTTAAAAAAATTCGTAACTTTAATTCAACTAATAAAAAATCTTCATATTCCGAAATGTAAACTAATAAAAATACTAAACCACTCCATAAGAGCTTACTAGCAAACCATATCTTCAATGTCGGAGTAATCTTTCCAATCTAATCCTCTAGCTTTTCACATAACTAAGCAAACTTATCACTTACTCATCTTTGAAGAAAAAATAAAAGGGGAATGAGCAAATCATAGCCCAGCAAGTATAAACTTACACACCTTACTAGATCAAGTATAGTTTTTATATATATCATATAGATTATTCAAAACATTCATCAAATCATAATGTCAAAACATTTCAAAGATCATCGTTCTATCAAACATTTCATAAATTCATAAATCAATGTCAAAACATATCAATTCATAAATCGTTGTAAAATATGTTACCATTCAAATATCATAATCAAACCAAATCATCGATCAATCATTAAAAATCATCGTAAATTATCTTTATATACAAATCTTGGATCAATATTTGAAATCATCACAAATCATCATAAATCATTAATTCATCATTAGCTACGGTCACTACTATAACCTGTGACATTGGCTGTATTGACATTTCATCTTCATAATTATTGCTAACTATTATAACTTGTTAGCCAGGGCTAAATGCTAACTACTATAACTTGTTAGCAGGGCCATATGATCATGGCTATGCTAACTACTATAGCCCATTAGCCAAGACCATAGAACTAGTTTTGGTATCGATGATCTCACTTCCTAGGAATATAAAAACGTAGCTATTATAAAATCGTTCCTTAAACATCAATCATTTTCTCATTTCATTCATAAGCATAATCCATCATTTACATAGCAAAAACATAAAATAATCATATGCTTGGTCCTATTTATATAAAAAATAATAAAATAAAATATTTACTCATTTAGAAACATACATATATACATAGGTTCAAAAATAAGCAAAGTATGTGAAATTCTACTTATCTCATTTCGATTCTATCACTTAGTTTTTCTTCCAAAATAATTAATGGCTTATTCAAGATAATTTCAACATTAGTTTTTCCTCGAAAATAATTAACGACCTACTTAAGATCATTTCAACATAACATAAATTAATCAACCCACTTTGAGACCAATTATACCAAAAACAATTATGTTAAACATGGGTTAACTCAATTAATTAATACTGATAGCATGAGCTCCTTTCACTAAAACAATCAGATCTCAAGATATCCAATTTGGAATTAAGATCTTTTTAATGTGTTAAAAACTAGAATTGATAAGCTTTCTAACCATATATGGCTCATCTTGTGATTCCTTATACATTAATTATAATAATTTTTGCAATCCATGTCATATGCTGCTGTCAAACAACATGCATACTTTCTAATAAAAATTACACATTTATTCATAGGAAACTCCAAATTCAATTCCACTTTTTTTTTGCAAAGTAAACTCAATAAGCTTTCCAAACATATATGGATTAATCTAAAATTCCTTGCATAAAAATTAAGAGAAATTTTGTAATTCCTCTCAGCTGCTACTACCAGGCAACTTGCTTATCATTAAGTAAAAATTAAACTACTCTTCATAAAAAAATTCAGACTTGACTTCCATTTATTTCATTGGAAAGTAAATTCAACAAGCTTTCCAACGGTATATAATAATCATAGCAATATTTTATCCCTTAATATAGAATATTATCTTAATCAGCCACTGCAAACACCAGGGTTCATACAAAATAGAAATTTTCCTTTCTAACCCCATCAAATTTATGTTTCCTATTTTTACAACAATAAAATCATATAACTAAACTTTCTCAATACTTTATTAGACCCTGATCAAAGTCTAAATAATTTGCTCAAACCAATTTTGAAGAGGGATAATGGATTTCTTAAAATTTTAAGGTTTCTTTATTATAAATTAAACCTCAAGGCTTAACAACCAATATTATTTCTCTAAAATTGAAGAAAATTATTTACTCATCTCTGAATGATAACTCTCCTTATAGATTTTGTTCTTACATTTCTCTTGAAATCCTTTGACTTGTCTGTTCTGTATAAAAAAGAAAAGAGAAATAAGTTTTTATTTTCTTTCAATTTGTTGTCAACGGAAAGTAGTAGTATAAGTTAACCCTATTAACAGTTGGGTTATTTACTAATTAGTCTTTTACTTTTCTAACTTTTAATTAAAAACTCCCTTTACTTGTAAAATAATTAAAATATTCTTTTTTTATGGGTATTACCCTAACTTATAAAAAGTTTCATCATCGAAACTTGATTTACCTTTATCTTCAAATAATTGTGAATGTCGTTTATTTATATCATCTTCCATTTCCCAAGTTGTTTCTTTTGGTATGTGATTACTCTATTGAACTTTTACAAAAAGAATAGTTTTATGCCTCAAAACCTACTCTTTTCATCAACTATTTGGATAGGATATTCTAAGTATGTTAAATTCTCTTGAACTTTTAAAGGTTCATACTTTACCACATAGCTCAAGTTAAAGAAATTTTCTCAACATGGACATATGAAACACATTATGCACTCCAGATAGCTGAGGTGACAAGGCTATCCTATATGTAACTTCTTCCACTTTATCGAGACTTTTAAACGATCTTATATAATGTGGGCTTAACTTTCTTTGCTTTTCAAACCGCATAACACTTTTTATAGGTGACACTTTTAAAAAGAACTAGTCTTTTTATTGAAAATCCAACTCCCTTCTCTTCTTATTTACCTAACTCTTTTGACGATCTTGTGCTACTTTAAGTCTTTCTTTAATCACCCTAATCTTTTCCATAATTAATTACACCATTTTCAAGCCCAAAAAATTTTTTCTCCCCAACATCATCCTAACATAAAGATGATCTACCTTTTTTACCATACAAGGCTTCAAAAAAAGCCATCCCAATGCTAAATTGATAACTGTTATTATAAGCAAACTCTACTAAAGGTAAGTAATTGTCCCAACTACCTTTTAGATCAATCACATATGCTTAAAGCATATCTTCCATAATCTAATTTATTCTTTCCATTTG